CAATTTCTTAGAATTAAACACTATCTACTGATTTGCATCGAAGCGTTTCTTATGATAGTGATTTTAATCACTGTCAGATTACATCTATACTGGATCCAACTATACAACATCCCCACTATGCCGCGACCCCACTGTGCTGGGTTTTTTTCTTATAAATCTGACCCTTTTTTTTTTCTAAATACATTATAAGTACATTTGACATACTTTTTATAAAAATANTTTTCTAAATACATTATAAGTACATTTGACATACTTTTTATAAAAATAGGACAATTTCTCCTTATATAGGGGGCGTTCAAAACTTGAAATATTGTAAAAAACATAGATCTTTTTCAACTGAACTTTTAAAAATGTTCCGGAAATACTGCGTCCTTTAACCATATATCAAATTAAAGTTTATTTTATGTACTATAAAATGAAAAAAAAAAATTTGTCCCGACGATCTATCTTCTATGCGCACATGGCTACCATATTCAAAAATATGCTATTTTAACAAATTTTTTTTTTTAATTAAACACTATCTACAGATTTGCATCGAATCGTTTTTTATGATAGTGATTTTAATCACTGTCAGATATCATCTATACTGGACTCAACTATGCCACGACCCCACTGTGCTGGGTTTTTTTTGTTGCTATATAAATCATAAATTTAAAAAAAAAAATGAATTAACGATGGTTTTTTACAATTATAATCAAATATTATAATACGCTCAATTGAGTAAATCTTTTTAACAACTTTATTTATTGATTCTTTTAGTTAAAGTAAATCAAAATTAATTAAGTTCTAAATATTTCCATTGTAGAATCTTTTTACACTCTTTATCCAAAAGCTATATGATCTGCTATTTCCTTATAAATATCCTGATTAAGATAAAGTATGTCCAATGAAAGATGTATATAAATACTACTTCTCATGAAAAAATTGTGTTGATCCATACATTTTAGCTTCGATGCAAAGCGGAGAAGGTATTCATTTTACTATGATGTGTTTTTTTTTTTTTTTTTTTATGTCTGTTGCCACTTTTTCTCAGCTCTCATAGGACCGATTTCTTTCAAAAATACGTCAAAAGATCACAAATCGTATCTAGTTGAAGACATTACCCTTAAAAATTGAAAAAAATTCCCTCGTTCCCCGCAAATGGGGGAAATATCCAAAAAAATTACAAATTTAAAAATCGCTAATTTTCGAAATTTTTTCACTTTTTTTTCTTAAAACTTCCATAACTTTTTGAAAAATCAACAAATCAACATAATTTTTTTTTATACTAAAACCTTAGATATTTACCTTTCATTTGATATCATTTTTTTGAAAATCTATCACTTAACCTGCTCATTGGGGGGGATTTAAAATGGCAACTTTTTTACAAAAATTAATTTTTTCAACTTAATTTTTGAAAATGTTCCGGAAATACTGCGTCCTTTAAACATATATCAAATTAAAGCTTATTTTATGTACTACAAAATGAAAAAAAAAAATTTGTCCCGACACTTTTTTTTCTACATTTAAACGGCTGCCGTAGTTAAAAAAACACTATTTTTGTGTTAAAATTTTCGATTTTCGATTTTAAATTTTCAACTTAAAAATGCTATAACTTTTTGAAAAATGTATATATCAGCACAAATTTTTTTTTTCTAAATACATTATAAGTACATCTTTCATTTGACATACTTTTTATTAAAATTGGACAATTTCCCCTTATATAGGGGGCGTTCAAAACTTAAAATATTGTAAAAAACATAGATCTTTTTCAACTGAACTTTTGAAAATGTTCCGGAAATACTGCGTCCTTTAAACATATATCAAATCAAAGGTTATGTTATATACTATCAAATGAAAAAAAAAAATTTGTCCCGACATCTTATCTTCTATGTGCAAATGGCTGTCGAAAATTTAAAAAAAAATGTAATGTTTGCGATAAAAATTACCTTTTATCGGGATGTTTTTTGTACTTAAAACTGCCATAACTTTTTCAAAAATGAACAAATAAAAATAATATTTTTTTGTATTGAAACCTTAGATATTTCCCTTTCATTTGATATAATTTTTTTTGAAAATCTAACACTTATTCTGCTCACTGGGGGGATTTAAAATAGTAACTTTTTTACAAAAAATAACTTTTTCAACTTAATTTTTGAAAATGTTCCGGAAATACTGCGTCCTTTAAACATATATAAAATTAAAGCTTATTTTATGTACTACAAAATGAAAAAAAAAAATTTGTCCCGACGACCTATCTTCTATACGCAAATGGCTACCATATTCAAAAATATGCTATTTTTGTATGAAAATTATGGGTTTTGTATTTTATTTTAATAGAAGTTGATGTTGCTTTTGCAATTATCCAACAATTTTTTAAAATTAAACACTATCTACAGATTTGCATCGAAGCGTTTCTTATGATAGTGATTTTAATCACTGTCAGATTAAATCTAGACTGAACCCAACTATGCAATGTCTCCACTATGCCGCGACCCCACTGTGCTACCGTTTTTTTTAAAAATATTATAGCATTTTAAAGTAAAAAATTTAAATACAAAATGGAGAATTTTTACACAAAAATAGTAGTCATTTTCACCGCGAAGATAAAATTAAGTCCGAATTTTTTTTTCAATGATAAAGTACATTACATTAGCTTTAATTTAAGATACATATAAAAGTGTCAGAGTTACCAGAACACTTTCAAAAGTTAAGTTGAAAGAGTAAATTTTTTGTGAAAAAGTTGTCATTTTAAATCCCCTAAAACCTGCCATTAGTTTTGGATTTGGCATTGGTGGCTGACCACTAGAGATTCTGTTCGCTATTGCTAGAATCCATGTTCTAGAATCATATTCATTTTCCTGGTTTGTAGTTTCTCCTTTGAAGATAAACCACGGTGATGAAGTCTCATACTTGGTACGTTCATGTTCACACAAAAAGTACTGTAATAGCTTAACTTCCTTACCATTGTGACAGTCTAAACTATCATAGATAATAATTTCTTTCTGGTGCATATCCAGAATAGTAATGATCCAGTGATTGTAATTGATATGTAGTGGTGCCATCAATAAATTTTTTGAAAATACTTCATACTTTGGCATTGATGATATCTATGCCTCTCCTTTCAATACTTGGGATAAAAAAGGAATCGAAGGCATAAATGTTACTCTCGCTTCTTTTAACAACAAGGTTCATAAAATTATTGATAGTTTCATCATTATACAGTGATTCTCTAGTGTTGAAAGACATGTTTGCAGCTGAAGAAGTTAGTGATTTTTAAAGTTGTAATGTTTTTGGAGGTTTCTTCCATTTAGGGGAAACGAGGGAAATTTTTTCAATTTTTAAGGGTAATGTCTTCGACTAAATACTATTTGTGATCTTTTGACGTATCATTGAAAGAAATCCGTTCGGTGAGAGCTAAGAAAGAGTGGTAACAGACACAAAAAAAAAACACATCACAGTAAAACCAACAGCTTCGCATCGAAGCTAAATATAAAATTTTTCTGACTGGAAAGTTTCTTATTGCTGCTGTTGCTCCTGCTCCTATTGCTGTTGCTCCTAATCGTTCTGCTGTTACTGCTCGTGTTGATTGTGCTGCTGTGGCTGTAGCTGTTGCTGTTGTTTACAATATTTGGCCATGTGACCCCTTCGCCTACAAATTTTGCAAACTGCAAATTAGAAAATAATTAATAAACAAGATTGGGAGTTTAGTCTTTATATTTAAAATAAAGTTTGATTTATATAAATGTAATACAAGATAAAATTTTTTCTTTTAAAAAATAATAACGATTTTAATTAACACAACAATTGAAAAAATTCTGAATAATGTTTATATAATTTATTTATTTGTATTCCGTTAATTTATTTTCACTGATTCGAAATATATTACAAATTCTACTCCAATATCAATATTACAATTTAATTTGAAGTAATTGTTATATTAATGTTTATGTGTACTCAAGTGAACCAAAAATTTCTGAGTTTCATATGAAAAATGTTACCTTCAAAAATTACTCCTTCGTTGACTAAAATGAATCATTAAATAGAAAATTTTATGAGAATTAAAACAATGTTATTTTTAAGATTAATATGCAGTCAAGAAATTTTATAATTAATGTGGTGTACACTCTCTATAATAATGTCGTTATCAGTCGTTGACCGGCATTCGATGAGACCGGTTTGTGTCGTGTGCTTTTTATATTAAAATGTTATACTTCTAATAACTTGTCTATTTAATTTATTAAAATAGTTATTGTAAATTAAGAGTGAAAGGATCCACAACATGGTGTCAGGTGTGAATTTAATTGTCTTAAAACGATTAATTACGTGCTAAATTAATGTAATTTAAATAATTGTGGTGTTTTTTTAAAAAAAAAAAAAAAAAACTGAAAGTGTTAGTGTCTTAAAAACAATGGAGTGTAAAATTCCAAAAAACTTAAGTTTAGACGGAAATTTGGCGGTGAATTGGAGAAGATTTTACCAACAATTTGAAATATTCCTCTTAGCATCAGGCAGTTATGAAAAACCAGATGAGGTAAAAATAGCTATTTTGTTAAATGTTGCTGGCGAGAAGTTAGTTGACATTTACAATACATTCACCTTTGACCGGCGAACAAAGAGAACGTATGATAACGTAATAACTTTGTTTAAAAATCATTTCGAACCAAAAAAAAACATTATATTCGAACGATTTAAATTTTATTCTTGTAACCAAGAACCGGACCAGTCCATTGGTGAATATGTCACAAAATTAAGAACATTGGCATCGAGCTGTGAATTCAGTGAAACTGAAAATATGGTTAGAGACAAATTGATTATTGGTATAAATCAGTTGGAAATAAAAGAAAAGCTGTTACACGAATCTGATGTGACATTAGAGAAGGCGATTGATATAGCAAAAAAATGGGTAGCAACCAAAGAACAAATTAATGAAATGTTTAGTGCTACTAGAGAGTTAAACACGCACAGTATAGTAAAAAAACACGCTGATTTCTCTAACAGAAAACAAACTACCGAGGGCCAAGATATTCAAAATAAACGGACTGTTCAAACCAAATGTGAATTAACCTATGATTGTTTTAAATGTGGTCGAAATCATAGTCGGAGAAATTGTCCAGCTTTTAACAAAATATGCGCATTTTGTAAACAAAAAAATCATTTCAAAATAGGCTGTAAGCAATATAAAATAAGTCAACGGGAAGAAAAAGAAGAAAAACCAGGTAATGTTGATATTCATGTTTGCGAGACGAATGAAGGCGATGAAGAAAAACATTTTCTGGATTCGGTCTCATGCATGTTAGAAAATGAAACGGAATGGACACAAAGGATAATCGTAGAAGGCAAGGAAGTGA